ATACACATATATATCTATAAATAACTCTGGGAGCATAGCATTTTAAATAATTTTGACATTTTGGATGGTTTATTATATTCTCTTAATTCTAATAACTTTAAAAAGGTGATAATTTTCTCTCAGTCTTCATATTGAATAATTTAATTTCTAAATCTGTAGTTCATTTCATTTTCTGTAATTATTTTTAAGTTAGCTTCTGTGTAAACTCAATGATTTGTTCCCACATGATAATTTATAGCAGTCCAAAGATTTTTTATAGCTGTGGTTGTTATAATTTTGACAGATGCTCAAGGCTGCTGTTTGTATTGTTCTTCAGAATTTCATCTCTGTGGGAGAATTTGAGAAATCAATGAGAACTTTATTCTTCCTTAAAAGGTTGACTTAAACACACTGAAAAATTGACCAAGGAAGCCATAAAAGCTATTACAGTTTGCTCTTTTCTTACTCTTTTGTGTACATATACGACGATTTAAATCACTGGATAGTTCATGTTTATGAGTTTACCTCTTAAATAATCAGTTGTTTTTTTTTTATTTTTTTTTTTATTTTTTTATTTTTTATATTAGCAGCAAGCAGACGAGCATAAATAATCAGTTTTTAAACAAGAAGACGTGCATAAACTTTTAATTTAAGTTGTTGATACTATTTATTTAACTTCTCTTGCCTTAGGTGAGGATGTCGGTAAAAAGGGACGACATCTTCCTTGTAATACAAGTTGCTGTGAGGGTAGCGACAAGCCCTGCAAATACCTGGCACTTTGCTGCCACGTGGTGTGGGGTCAGTAGGTGATCACTCATGTCATTAGGATGACTCTTAAACTGCGATTCAGCTTGTGTAGTCAACTCAGAGTTCCTTTCTCTTAATGATAGAAAATATTAATATCTTAATACTAAAAAAGCAGAAAAGTCCAACAATGAGAAGCAGTTTTTTTTTTCTATTTGAAGGTTAAATGTTATAAATTCTTAGTTAAACCCTGGAGAGAAATATAAAGACTCTTATTAAAGACTCAGTGGTCTGGTATTTCTGGAGAAAAAAAACAAAAAACACATAGGTGTCACCTAAAGAGTTAGCTTGGTTGTATTTTTTTAATAGAAAATAATTGTAAACTAAACATTTCTATGGTGTCAACTAGTGTTTCTTAACACATTATTTAGTATTTGTACTCCCATGAACTCTCTAACAGTTATTTTTGTTTAATAGCCTATAACTGCCTGCTACTTTAACTGATTTTTTTTTAACTTGCCTGATTTTAAGTGTAATGGGTTTAAGACATTAAGTAAAAGGTCACTTGTACTGTTTCGGACTGTTGTGTTTCTGTCTCATTTTATTCATTTATACATGCGCCTTTTACTGTTCTGTTTTTCTCTTTAGCTATCCTCATACCACCCAAGGCAGCCTTCCACCTGGACAGTTTCTGGGCTGGCCACCAAGAGCTCTCTTGTGCTGGATGGGATGGGACTAGGCCTTTTCTGCTAGGGACTCAGTGTGCTCCCTGTGAAATGCTGCATATTCTGTCAGCACCCAGACCTGGGCCTCCCAAGTCAAATTGCCACTTGCCATCCTAGCAGAATTTACTGCTTTGGGCTTATTCTGGCCACCTCATTATTTCATTTGGAAATGCATCATTAAATATACCATTTCATGTTGTCATTGTGAGCGTATGTTCATCACAAAGCTTAAAAATAATATTATGCTATTTTCTACCTAGGAGCTAAAAGTCAGTATTTTGGCTCTTGCCACCCAAATCCTGACTGGATGCGATGAAGTGTTGGAAATGCTACAGCAGGTCACAACTGCCCTCATAAATAGCGACATAGCAGACCGTGAGCAGAGGTGAGGAAACGGAGTGTGGACCCTGGCCTGCTGTCTGTCCTTCAGGAAGAAAAATTTGCTTATGAAAGCGAGATCTTATTAGAACAGAACATGGAGGGATTAATTTAATATAGAGAGATTTTTGCGAGAATAGGCCGAAATGGCAAATGTTTCAAAGCCAAGTGCAATCAAACTCTTTAATGTGCTTTTAGGTGAGATTGGGCCAACAGCCCTCAAGGTTGTGGTGGACACCCTCCTCTCTGACATTTGGGACTTCAGCCACCACTCCCAAACTGGCCTTTCCTTTAATTCTTGAGCTTAGCACCACAAATACTTAGTTTCCTAACAATAAATACTTTCACAAGGAAGAAGTGACTTAGGGATACAGGCAGTCAGCTGCTACACAACAGATGACACTGGCATGTTATCTCAAGATTTTACTGTAATTTTACTCCTCCAAATACATGAGTGACCTACATAGAGGGTAAACTTCTCTTTCACAATAATAAAGCCCTTTCACAACCCTTCACATTTAAATTTCTGCTGTGGTTTGCTTTTAGAGATGAGTTGCATGCTGTGTTTTTTTGACGATCTGAACGTTAGAGATGTTGATCTAAAACAATCCTGCAGTGTAATTTTTGCTTCGGTAACACTGTTTTCATGGCCTTGGTTCTTGCCCACTCCCAGAGAGTAGATGAGAGGCTGGGATTGAGAACGATAGAATCCAGACAGGCACAGCACTGGGGCTTGGTGAGACATGGCGCAGTCCAATGGGACAGCCCGGGAGACGTGATGTCTGTTTGTGATTCCAACTCCAGTGTCCTAAGGAGCCTAGGGAATTGACATAACCCGTTTCATTCTGCATACCTCAATGCTTCTAGCAGAGGACAGGGATATTAAGAATGTGATTTTAAAGACAAATTGAAAATTTACCTGCTTAGATTAGTCAAAACCATAGAGACAGAAAGTATAATGGTGGTTACCAGGGACTGAAGGAAAGTGGGGAATGGGGAGCTATTGCTTAAGGGGTTGTAGTTTTGGTTTTACACGATGGAAAGTGTTATGGAAGTGGATGGTGGAGACAGTTGCACAACATTAACACTGAAACAAGCACTTAAAAATGTTTAGGATGGGCCAGGCACAGTGGCTCACACTGGTAATCCCAGCATCTCAGGATGCTGAGGCAGAAGGATTGCTTAAGGCCAGGAGTTCAACACCAGCCTGGGCAACATAGACAAAAAGTAGAAAATTAGCCGGGTGTGGTGGTGTGCACCAGTAGTCCCAGCTACTCGGGAGGGTGAGGCAAGAGGATTGCTTGAGCCCAGGAGTTTGAGGTTACAGTGAGCTATGATGACACCTTTGCACTCCAACTTGGGGCACGGAGTGAGACCATGTCTCTAAAATAAAAACGACAAAAAGAAAAAAAGTTAAGATGTTAGACCAGATGTAGTGGCTCACGTCTGTAATCCTAGCACTCTGGGAGGCCAAGGTGGGAGGATCGTTTGAGTTCAGGAGTTCAAGACCAGCCTGAGAAAGAGCAAGACCCTGTCTCTACTAGAATAGAAAAAATTAGGCAGGAATGGTATGAGCCTATAGTCCCGGCTACTCAGGAGGCTAAGGCAGGAGGATCGCCTGAGCCCAGGAGTTTGAGGTTGCTGTGAGCTAGGCTGACACCAGGACGCTCTAGCCCAGGTGGCAGATTAAGACTCTGTCTCAAAAGAAAAAGAAAGAAAGAAAAAGTTAACCCTTTGTACTCGGATGTCAAGTGTGACTCGACACGGTTAGCAAAAATTATAGAGATTAAAATTCCTCTTTGAATGTATCAATAATTTGAAATATAAAAAAAATCCAAATAAATAAGTTTGTATGAAAAGAAACTCCAGTTTTTTATGCTATTGCCGCACTTTGTAAAATCTGGGGTGTTTAAAAAATTAAATCCCAAGTAGAATAAAGGAATCGAGAAAAAAGCAAGCAAGTGCAAAGGGTTAAGATGGTAAATTTTATGTTTATTTTAATGTAACAAAAAGAATTGGGGGGGGAAAGGCCTGTGAGCCTCTGTATGTCCCAGATGAGCCTCAATTTCTCTAGGCCAGGAGTGGTTGCACAGCTACAGGAGGTGCATGAGGGTCATAGCCATTTACTTCCTCCCCGTCAGAGTCAGTGCAGCGGAGTGGCCACAGCCCCAGGGGCAAGGGAGCCTTACAGCAGTAACTGCCTAGGGTAGCCAGTGGCATTTTAGAACCCATTTGTAAAGTGCTTCGAAGGAGCTATGAAATGCACTGCATCAACCTTTTTTGGCAAAAGTCACACATTGAAGGTAAAATTCAGTAAGTAGGAGCTTCTGTTCTTCCCCTCTCTCTCTCTGTGGGAGAAGATGGGAAATTTGTGAACTGAATTGCTGTAAGTGCTTATCTAGTTTAAGGAGATGCAGTTTAAGAGAATCTGTCTGCTAAAGATGATGTTAGTTGCTGCTTCGTATGATTGGGCATTGCTCAGGCTGTGTGTTTTCTTGAACTTTTTGTAGGTTAAAAGGCTTGGAACAAGTTACTAAGGCTACTATGCTTGGTCACCTTCTTCCAGTGTTACTGACCTCCCTGATGCATCCAAATTTACAGACTTTGATCATGGCCGATGCCCTGATGCCTCAGCTAGTGCAGCTGGTTCTCTATACCAGCCAGGTATGATCCTTGGTGTGCCAAAGCGAGCTGCCTGTTGGCCAACCTACTTCACAGTGAAGCTGTTTGCTTTCACTGAAGGCAGAATAAACATAATCCTGTATTTCAGAAACCAAGGGAAATAATGATGGCATGAAGAAAAATATATCATAGAAATAAACTAGAATATTAAGGGAAGACATTTTGTTTGTTTGACTAAATTACTTACTGCAGTCTTTTAGCAAGTATTCATTGCTGATCAGCTGTAAAAATGCTAATATACAATGCTGCTAAAAACCTACCATTTTATTTCATCTCTGGAGTCCTTGCCAGCTAAAAATAACTAATATATTTAATGAATGGTATGTTCCTTACTAAAAGATGCCCTGGGGAATGAATGAATGAATGATGAGTTCCAATCCAGCATTAAGTAAAATAATGTTAAGTGGCATTTCTTAGTGAAAGAGGACAGACCAGGATTGTAAAAAGGTGATGCAGGTGATAATTGTAAGCTTGACTGTCATACCATCCAGATAACTGACAGTAAGCACTTTAAAACATGATGATGGCTTTGTGTTTCAGACGGCTTTGCTGCTTAAAACCCAGTGTCCAGTTTTTGCTGAGATGGGCTGTTCCCCATGTGGTACATCAGACCAGAAGTGCAGGCTGTTCCCCGATGAGAGGTAATGGATGCTGCTTCTTGCAGGAACCCTTTTCTTTTCTTCTGGCAAAAGCCTAGTACTCCTTTTACAACAGCGATTTTTAGCAGGGATTATCTAATGGGAAAAAAGAAAAAAACTTCAGGATCAAAATTTTAGATAACTGTAGAATTGCTTTGTAAATTTATAGGAACTGGTTAGAATAAATTTCCCCATGGCTCAAGAGATTAGTTCAAACTGACCTGAAATTCTCATACACTAATGATGGGTATGTAAAATATTACGACTTTGGCAAGCAGTATGGCAGTTTCTTAAAAAGTTAAACATAAACCTACCATATGATCCAGCTATTCTACTTTTAAGTTAAATACTTAAAAGTATTTTAAGGTAAAAGAAAAGAAAGCATAGTTTCTTACAAAGACTTGTATGTTAAGGTTCATAACAGCTTTAGGTAGAATATCCTAAAACTGAAAACAATCCAAACGTCCATCAGCAAGTGAGTGGAGAAACCAATTGTTGTATATCCAAACATAGACTCCTAATCCACAATAAAAAGAAATGAACTATTGTCATATGCAACAACATGGGTGAATGTCAAAATACTTATGTTGATTGAAAGAAACCAGGTCCCTTGAGGTCACATACTATATGATTCCATTTATATAAAACTGTAGAGATCGCTTCTCAGCCTTTTGGCTAAGATCAAGTGTAAAACTCTAGAAAATGCAAACTAATCTCTAGTGACAGCAAATAAGTGATTGCCTGGGGGAGGAATGAAGGGATTACAAAGAGGAAGAAGGAAACGTCACAGGTGTATACAAATGTCCAAACTTACTATGAATAAGTTGTATCCTTTAAAAATGTGCCAATTACTATGTCAGTTATGTTTAATTAAAACTGTCTTTTTAAAAAACTGATCAGAAAGGGAGGATTTCCTGGGTTTCTCTAGAGTAGCGTGCTGTTCAGTTGAGCCTTTTGCAGCTGTGAAACTTGTATCTGTGCTTCCCAATGCTGTCAGGCATGGCCAGTGATTGTTACTGTTATTGTCCACTTGCAATATGGCTAATGAGACCGAGGCACTGAATTTTAAATTTTAGTTTATTTAAACTCAATTTAATTTAAGTGGCCACATGTGCCTACTGTATTGGACAGTGTGCAGCTCTGCAGCTCAACCTACAGAGCTGAAAGGGTGAGAGAATCCCACAGCAGCTAAGTTTAAGTCTTAGGAGTTTGTATTCCACAACCTGAGGCTCCATGAAGTCCTTGAGTGTTCAATTGTAGTTGGTAAGAGAACCTTTGAAGGCACCTTTCTTCAGTAAAAATGTATAGTGAAAAGTAGTTTATGTAACCTCACGGAGGTTTCAACAATTGGCATGTAGATATCAACAAAGGGACATTTTACAGGGTGCTAATCCTATGGGATTTGGGATGTGGCCGGTCTCAAAGGGCCTTTACCGTATCTCTTTTTTTCTTCTGAGTAACTTCAAATGAGAGTTGGTGGGGTCTTCTCCTGGCTTTCATTTGGGCTCCTCCTTGAAAAAAAAAGAGGCAAAAAATGCAAATATAGCATCTAACAACAGAAAAGAAGCACCTTTAAATATAGGAAATTTTCAATGTTTCTGATTGCCTGTTGACATCAAGCATTCAGAAGCCGCAGTGCTGTCATACTGCGTGCTGTGGGACATTAAAGAGCAATTTCTTAACCTGTGGTATTTTCCTGTGTTCACATTATTTTTTCTTTCCTTGCTGCTAAGCTAAATCCCTTTCTCTTTCTCTGTTCTAGAATGCTAGAAGAGAAGGAAGAGCCGGGCTTCCTCACTGGTTTAAAGATTCCTGCCCCGTGGGCTGCTGGGAAAACTGTGGAAACAGTCCACCCTGTCAGAGACAACTATAAATTTAAAGAAACGGTCCACATTCCGGGAGCTCGCTGCCTGTATCTTAGATTCGACAGCAGGTGCTCGTCGCAGTATGACTATGACAAAGTAAGCACAAACTGGTTGTTACTCTTCCGCCTCCAGTGAACTAATTTCTTAGATGCTTCTTATTTTTCTTTGCTGCTGTTCACCGTTCTTGACTTATTTCTGTCTGCAGATAGATCCCTAAGGAGACCCTTCCTAAGATAATGTCTTGAAGGGTAGTGACTGAGGGAGTTAAGGAAGCACAACCACTGTGGCCTAAGTGCAATGTTTTAGTGACATGTTGAAAGCGTAGGTTATAAGCTTCCAAATGCTCCGATCTGAGTGGAAGGAAATACTCCTTTGCATTCTGTTTCCCTCTGTGCTTGAAATTCCTACAGATGTATGATGTCTGTTCATCTAGAAAGGTCTCACTGCCCAATTCTTGGGGCTTCTCATGTATCTTTTGGGGAAAGATGGCTTTTTAGAAGAGTTTTAGATGTGCTAGGATCTCATTTATGTTTATTTAAATATTTGTTCTTTTTTGCCATTATCTCAGGGTCCACGTAGATTTTGAGGAAGAGTAGTTTCCAACCTGGTGGCCCCACAGTTATAAATAGAAGGAAGCATTTTAGGGGTTGAAGCATTTTCTTCTGTTTATAATTGTTGAATTGGAAACCATCAATTTGAACTTAGGAGGAAAGGCTAATGAAGTCAGGATATGTAACTTATGAAGGAACAACTGGAGGATTATCTGTTAGCTTTGTATAGCCTATTTTTACGTAGCTTGTTAGCTATCTGTTTTCTCTCCCCCTTGTGAACCGTGTGAGGGCAAATGGTCTTAAATCCTATCGGGAGGTTTTTAGGTTAAAAATAAAGGACTTCTTAACTGTATATACTATACATACACATTACTGGGCTAATTATAGAATCCTCTTCCTCATGATCTTTTAAGATAGTGAAGATCCCCAAATGTCTGGAGGGGTTTGACTTGTCCCCAAAACTTACCTTAGCTGGAAGCAAGAAAATATAAGAGATGATCTTTGGTGGATCTCTCAAAAAACATACCTGCTAGCATCAGTCTACCCCACTTCATAGCTCCTGGCATTAGCTACCCCTATTTCCTAGGTCCAGGAGAAGTGACTATTTAATATGGAAATTGTGGAAGTTGCCATTTTAGTTGGTGTCATTTTGTTTCTCCTTTAAAAACCGTAATTTGCTCTGTCAACATCTATTTGTACTTTAAAAAAAAAAGTAATTTGCATTTCTGATGTGCACTAACTTATGCCTGCAGTAGACATTAGTTTTAAAAGATGAAGCACAAGAGGCTTATTACACGCATAAAAGTACATTTACTTTTCCAGTGGTCCCTGGCTGATGTCAGCAAAATGTCCAAAAGGGTAAGAAATCACAAAATGATAAGTAAGTGTCCAGGCCTAAAGATGGAGCTTTTAGATCTGAACTTAGGTACAGTGAGAAGCAGTCAGAGTGCATTAGAAGACAGGGTTTGGTGTTTACAGAAGCCAGAACTTTATTTTTCCTCTGGAAGTATTTGAATGCCAAATGAGCTATAAATGCTTCCCCTACATATTTGGAAAGTTGGTCGATTGGTTATAAAAGAATAAGAAAATTATTGATACATGAAAACTGACCCAAGAAGAAGCAGCCTCCTTTCTTGCCCAAATTTGTATCATTTTCTTTTTATACCATTAAGCAGCAGTCTAGGAATATATGGCTTATTTTCAATTTGTTGCATTTTTTAAAATCCTTATTCATCGATTCTTTTTGGCGCTTTTATTTTGTTGTTGTGTTAGATATAACCATCTTTTCATCTGTATTTGCTCACTTTATTAATTAATTTTGGGGAGGATGTAAGGGGTCAAACTATACTGTTATTAATGATTTATATGTTAATAGTTAGGATTAAAATAGCTATTTCAAAAATATTCATGTAGAATAGTTGATTATAACTATTTTAATGTGAGGTCCCCAGCCAATTAGATTGGGGTAATATAAAAAATATGCTTTTTATTTTAATGACTATTATTACTCTGTGCCTGCCCCGTAAATACCAATGGCTGATTGTATCCAAATTTTTATTGGTTATACCTAAAAAAGAAAAAAAAATCAGGAAATATTAGTTATAATTTTACCAGTGCCTGGTTATAAATGTATTTTTAAACAGATTATTTTTGCAGCCTTTTTATTTGTAGATGTTGTTTTTGTTTTTCTTTTACAGTCTAACAGTATATTTTCTGTTTTGAAGTTGGTGATATACGCGGGGCCTAACACAAACAGTAGGAAGGTTGCTGAGTATGGAGGCAATACACTGGGATATGGCAGCCGTAGTGTCTTAGGAACTGGTTGGCCGAAAGACTTGGTGAAGGTATGGTATCCAGTCATAATTGCTTCCTAGAAAAGAAAAATGATTTTACAATCCTCACGGGCCTGAGAAACAATTTGCCATAGGGGCTTTTGTTGTGGTGGGGCCACCTTGCTAGTCTTGTCAACCCAACTCCTATTTAGAATGACCCTCCTTTCGCTTGTAGGACATCAGACCCCTGTTTCCTGCAGAGCTAAGCTCCCATGCACAGGTTACTCCACGGACAGAGGTTATCACAGCATTTTCTTCCCTGTCCCTTAAAAGGGCTGCTGGTTCATCCAGCTTCCTTCTTCTCTAGACTCCCTTTTGACAGGTAGCCTAGGGCCACAGAGCCATTGTAATTGTAAAGTGTTGAGTTAATGTATTCAGATGAATTTGAGCCTTTTTAGCAAAATAATGATCCATTTCCAAGCTCATGAGATGAGGGCCATGCTTTGTAACCTGGGCCCTCAAACTACTTACTGTGTGTCTGCCTAGAATATGAATAAGAACTGAAATGACCATTAAAACCCAAAAACGTCTCCAAAGTCTGTTCCCAGAGCCTTTATTTCACATATATTATGTATCCTCTTATTCAGCTATAGATAGCAAGTTAACTCAAGGGGTATAGTCTGGAGTGTACCCAAATCCGGGTCAGCACAATACTTTGTAAATGTCCTCCGATTTGCTGCCTTTTGTTTTTTACCCATGGAGTTGGTTCTGTAATGCACAGCAAGGTTTCGCAGCACTCGGTCAGTGTTCTTCAAGAGCACTGGTTGTTTGCCTGCCTTGTTGACATGAGTGAGGTGGGAAAGTGCCTGGCGGAGGGCAGAAAGAATAAAATCTGAGGAATTTGTTAGAAATTGCACTCAAGATTTGATTAATCTTTATTTTGATCCTGCTTTTGGACAATTGTGGCCCATTTCACAGATGTCTTGTCCCAAAGGCTACCTGGTCAAGAGAGACACCTAAAAGGCTCATGTCTAAATGAGGGGATGGAATTTGAATCAAAAAGCCAATGAGGGCTGGGCTCGGTGGCTCACGTCTATAATCCTAACAGTCTGGGAGGCCAAGGTGGGAGGATCACTTGAGATCAGGAATTTGAGACCAGCCTGAGCAAGAGCAAGATCCATCTCTACTAAAAATAGAAAGAAATTAGCTGGACAACTAAAAATACATAGAAAAAAATTAGCCGGGCATGGTGGTACATGCCTGTAGTCTAAGCTACTCGGGAGTCTGAGGCAGTAGGATGGCTTGAGCCCAGGAGTTTGAGGTTGCCGTGAGCTTGACTGATGCCACAGCACTCTAGCCTGGCCAACAGAGTAACAGAGTAAGACTCTGTCTCCAAAGGAAAAAAAAAAAAAAGCCAGTGAGTGGCCGGGTGCAGTGGCATGGTGGCTCACACATGTAATCCTAGCACTCTGGGAGGCTGAGGTGGGAGGATCGTTTGAGCTCAGGAGTTCAAAACCAGCCTGAGCAAGAGCGAGACCCCATCTCTACTAAAAATAGAAAGAAATTAATTGGCCAACTAAAAATATATAGAAAAAATTAGCGGGGCATGATGGTGCATGCCTGTAGTCCCAGCTACTCGGGAGGCTAAGGCAGTAGGATCGCTTGAGCCCAGGAGTTTGAGGTTGCTGTGAGCTAGGCTGACGCCATAGCACTCACTCTAGCCTGGGCAACAAAGCGAGACTCTGTAAAAAAAAAAAAAAAAGCCAGTGAGAAAAGGAGTGAAATATTGCTGTGGTCCTTCTGAAAATAAGTCTCTGAAATTTATTGCTCTCTTGTAAATTATATGTCTTGTTTTTAAAGTGTATTTTCCCTCCCTTAAATTTTAAGGTGGAAGGAGATACAGTCACCTTCTCCTTTGAAATGAGAAGTGGCCGTGAACACAACACTCCTGATAAAGCTATGTGGGGCTTTGCTTGCACAGTTCGCGCTCAGGTACATGAATCTAACCACTGCTGTGGGCAAATAATGTGCTTTCTCCTACGTGCCTTGGTGACATATATCATATTTGCCTTGGAAACAGAGCAAAATATGAGCCGCTGGTTCATCCATCTCTTCTATTTGGCAGTAGTAAATTACTAGCAGTTAGTAGGAGTTTTATAGGATAAAACTAGCCATGACCTAAAATCAACTCAGCAGCACAGAAATAACCCATTGCTAGGGGCTCCAGCTTCAAAGCCTGGGAACTGACTTGACTCCAGCATCTTTCCATAGGGCAAAGAAGACTCGAACGCTTAATAGAAGTAAGCACTTGGATTCTGGGTTCTAAGAGTTGTAAGATTTCTACTAACCCCTCTAGTTGCCCGATTTTAAAAATATATTTTAGACTTGGAGGCTGCTTAAGTTTAACCAAGCAAAGACTCTCCGGAGTGGAATTATCTGCTAGAATGTAAGCTCCATGAGAGCAAGGGTCTGTGTTCTGTTTTCTGCTGTATCCCAGGCATGGAGAACATCTCCCGGTACACAGAAAGCACTCGATAAATATTTCAGTGCAGTCATGAATTCGGTGCA